ATCATCAACGTAAAGTGACCAATGCTCGCTCACTCCAACTGACGGATCTCACATCTTCACCATGTTTTTTAAAAAAAATTTATATCCACAGATACAGGAAGCGTGTGGTGGCGAGGCAGACCTGGTGGAGTGTGATGCAGGATGTGGCGTTGGTGATTTTGGCGTCTGCAGTGAGAGTGAATTCAGTTGGATGTTCAGGTCTGAGTCTTTAAGATCAGATTTTAAAGGTGCTGTGAGTTTCATTTTACCTTCGATAAATCACATTGATAATAAAAAACTGCAAAATGACTGTAAACACAGAGACTTTACATGGGATGAAGAGTGAAATGGACGTTAAGACTGTATGAACTGTCTTGTGTCTAAATAAAGGCATAAAAAACAAGCAAAATGCACCTTAAAGGGGACATATTATGAAAAATCCACTTGTACAGTGTTTTTGAACATTAATTTGGGTAACCTGAGTGTCTACTGACCCACAACATGTGAAATAAACCCATCCAGTCCTTTGTTTGGGTCTGCATAAGTCTTACAACACAGAGAAAAATGCTCTCCTTGTGATGTCACAGTGGGATTCTCGTAAAAAAAAAAAAAAAAATCCCCTCCCCTCCCTTGGTATCTCCACACCAGCCTAGAACAAACTTTAGAGAAGGTCAGCCGTTTTATTCTCGCTACAGAGGAGTGATGTCTATGGGGAAAACTCAGGGGGCTCATTTCATTTAAAGAGACACACACACCAAAACGGAGCGTTCTGAGAGAGCTGGTTTATACAGGGTCACAAACCTCCTCTGGTGCTTGATTCATGTTATTTTTGAACAAAGCACAGCAAAGATGTTTCATTTAGACCACAGGGGACTGTTTGGAAAAAGGAAGAGGGATAATATGTCCTCTTTAAGAGTAAACAAAGATGGGTGCCAACAGTACCAAGCTCCTGATCCACCAAGTGACTACTGATCTCAACAGGGAAGTGAAAACAGGTTTATATCCTGATGAGGGAGTGTGGAGAAGGAATAGCCTCGTTAGTTTACAGTCATTATAGCAAGCTGTCTGTTTGAATGTGATTTATTATAAAATGAAGTCCATCTAGTTGCACCTTTCTCAACTCAGATGAATGCCTTCGAAGTAAAGATAATTTGTTCTGTCATAGGATCAGTGTTAACTCCACTGGGTTCATAAAGCAACTCTCTTTACTGTGAGTGAAGTCGTTACTGATCTGAAATGTTTGTGCTTTCATGGTGGAGATGTTCATCACTTCAGTTTACTTTGAGTTACGTCGAACTTGGGGAGGGGGTGAAAAATGTCAGCGTAAAATCTGAAGTTTTCCACCCATCATGCCTCTGTCTTTGGTTTGGAAACCTTTAGAAAAGTCCAGGAAGAGTTTTTGTTCATCTTTGTCTCTGTCGTCTCCCTGGATCGTGAAAATGTGTCTTTTTTTGTTCTTCTCCCAACATGTGTTGATATTGTTCACTTCTTTAAAAGTGAGTTTACATTGTCATTTAGATTTTATTTAACAAACATGCACTTGTCTATGTAGGTTTAAAAAAATAGTGCACATCATTTGGTCACTGCAACACTTAAGTCTACGACCTGCTTATTTGACGAACCGGAGCTGTGCAGACATGTTTGTTTCTGCTCTGAGCTTTTGGTTTATATGTTTTTATTATTCTTCTACACTGCATCTCTCACAGGTGTGTTTCTGTGTGTCTATAGGCGTTTTCGGACCTTCGGAACTGTTGGAAACCCCCCCCACCGCAGGAACTATGAACTTTTTAAGGTCCTAGATCCATTAGAGGAACCCTTTTAGACCCCTTCAGAGTAGGTAACATGGCGGTGCGAATGCAGACAGAAAAAAGTCCCTATTGTGTGAAGTTCTCAGGGAACTCCTTGGTGGATAGTTCCTCTTCAAAATATCCCAGAACCATTTGGTCTGAAAACACCTTCTGTGTGTGCGTGTGCAGTGTTCTTATATATAATACAGGGCAGTGGCTTTTGCTGAAGAAAAAAAAAAAGGAGGAGGCAGTTTGATCACAGCCAATGGGAGCTGACTTTAACTGGTGAAGGTTTAATCTGCTTCCTGATGTGACGTTTTATAAAGTTTTTATTTTAGTGCTTGAACTAGGAGTTCCTAAAAAAACACTCCAGGAAGAATGTGCAATATACAGCAGAGATCCAGTCTATCCTGTTTAAATGTGTCTCTGAGTCATGACTGTCTACAGTGAGTGAGAAGCTCGAGTCCGCTGGCTGTGTTGTTGTCAGAGACGTGTTAACATGGACGGGACGGCCGGCTCCTCCCCTTGTGTATAAAAGCTGTTTTAGTCGAGGACTTGGTTCAAATTGGTTTGTTATAGTTTAGGATAACACTTTAATTATTTACGACTATCGCTGAGTAGTTTCAGCTGAACTCATGGGAGGCAAATGTTAAAAGTTAACATGCTGAACCTCAGAGCTGTTAAATGTCACGTTAGCTTGCTGATGTAGAGCTAACACCCGAGCGTTTAATTTCTAATCTGGTTGGTACGAAGAGTCCACATGTCAAAATAATGATTCAGGCTCAACAGCATAAAATAGTAGCTTCTTTTTAATAACTAATAGTTAGCAAGATTAGCTAAAAGTTAGCAAGATTAGCATTTTTTTTTAAATCAGACTGTGATCAAATTGCCTCCTTATTCTTTCTTTTGGTGCTGGGTAAGAAATTCTGTCATTATGACATCATAGCTGGCTTAGCCAATAGGAAAAGTCCTTTAAAAGGACCGTAACAGGTTCATTCCTAGTGTCAGCATCTTCTCTGTATCTAACCTGACTCGGAGTCAGCAGGAATGTTATTTAGAAGCTCGACTGCAGCTGGAAGCTTGATTATAAAAACATTTACTTCAGTCCTTCAGTTTGAATAAAACCAGTCCAGTGGAAATAAATCTCAAACAGCAGAAATACAACAAAGTTCACGCTGTCTCAGTCTCAACATGTCGGTCGAACCTGCAGAGGGTCGACCGACATGGGGGGGGGGGTCATCTTTTATTTTTAATCTCATGTGGAAAAAACCTGAAATTCTAAAGTAGTGGCACTAACATTCAACCTGCAGTCAGATTAACAGCTGAACTTCATTTCCAGAATTCCACCACTACAACCAAACAACTGAGCAACAACATAAGCATCGTGAATCTGCCACAACACTTCTGTCTCATTCTTTTTGAAATAATACTTTTTGGAACTCTTTTTTGACTTTTGTGTTTTTTAGAGCACAACTTTGAATTGATTTGAATATTTGTGGCACAGTTTGGACTTTCTGTGTTTATTTTTCTTGTCCATCTCATCGTTATCAGTGCAGTGTGTTGTTGTTCTTTTTCCTTTGAGCAGAGGCTGAAGTTTGTTGTCTGAGGCTTATCAGTTCACCGCTCCTACACGTGAGTCACAGTTCATCACAGTCTCTCAGTTTTGTGAAAGTTTTTTTTTTTGCATGATCTTCTGTTTTTTTTTTTGTCAGATCTGAACCTTTTGTAGCCTTTTCCTCCTTGCCTCTACCTGCTATCTTCAGCGCCTAAACACACTGTCCAACCGACTACTCGATCTACCCTTGTCCTTTATAAGTACCTCTCTTACCACCTGCCTTGTCCAATCCAACTTTCACCAGCAATTGGCAAATCATCACAATTTGTGGACATTATTAGAAGCAGCAGCGAGAGAAAAGCCGCTGCTTTTTATTTTTGATGCACAGGGCAATCAAAAATACTGTTTCTTTCAATGGATGTGGTGGCTTTAATAAAAAAGCAGTAACACCTGTTTTCGGTTTATAAAAATCTCTCTCTTAAAGATAATGTCTATCTCTATAGGGACCCTCTCTGTTATGTTGTTGACTCTTAGAATAACAATCAAAGCCTGTGATTGTTTGGAAGTCTTCCGTTGGAGACATAACAGCCTGTTTCAGGGCCGTCGTCTGAAGAAAACTACTGAAGCAATTATGACCCCGAGATATGCAAAAACAGGGCCAGAAGTATAGAGACTGGAATGTCCTTTAAATGAATTTAGTCCATATTTTTTTTTAGTGTCTGAGCTTTAAAAGGAGAACTCTACATAAGCATGTTGAGTTGATGTGCTCAGAGTTTAAATACAAGTTGCACAAACCTCCAAAACTCAAGATGATTAATGAAATCCTGCGGTTGTTCTGTGCTCCCTCATGGTGCCTCTATCTGTTGTGCTCACTCACTACTTTATTTTATAAATACGTTTCCACGGACATCTACAAACTTAAGCTTATTGAACAGAAGCTCTGCAGCTCTGCAGCTCTGCGTTGAAACAGGCGGAGTTTGTGTGCAGCAGAAATCTAAACTCACTCTGTGTTTTTCTCCTCAAACGCTTCACTGTGAATCACATCAAACCTGAAGCCCGAGACGCATCCCGAGCGTCTCACTGTGACGATGATGGCGGCGGTGCTGATGTGCTGATGTTTCATGTTCAGAGTCTGTGTGGTTTTCAGGATCCTGCAGAGATCCAGAAGGAGCGGGGGATTGTGGGAGATGCAGTCCCAGTGCGGTCAGTCAGAAGAGACAGACTTTCTTCTTCATGTCGTTCCTCTTCCAGAGAGACAGCTGGTCGAACTCCTCGATGGACATCCCGAAAACACTGAAGAACTCCTCCTGAGAGAGGTGCCTCTGCACGGGCGAGAGACAAAAGAAGAGGAGAGAGAGAGTGAATGATCTGAATGCTTCGTGTGGGATCGGGGAGCAGTGAGTGGGTCGACAGGTTTACCTCCAGCCTGGTTCTGTCCACACCGGGAGGAAGTTTGCGCCGCCCTCTGTGAGTCACCACCAGCGTCTCGTAGGGGTAGATCTACACACATCAATCAGTCATGATGCAAAGCAAAGAAACAATAGATGTATCTTAATATTTAACTTAAATCACTAAAACAGAAGCTGATATGATGGTAATAACGCCTTGCAATAATTGAACTTCAATTTTGAGCAGCACAAAACCGAGCTTGTAAAGCCTTTTTTTTTATCATCTCAGAAATAATTTAATTTTTTATCTATTTTAACTTTTAAAGACACGGCGAAGATTTTAAATCTCGGCTATAATAACAGCCTTTTTAAATGCCTGAACCAAAAATCTTTAGATCGACTCTAGTTGGTGCTGATCTCAGCTGCCAGGCTTTAAACCAGAACCAGAAAATACGACCGCCTCACTCCTGCTTTAAGGTCTACACCTCGACTCCCTGTGTTTTAGAATCCATCACAGGATTTTAGTGATTACTTTTAAAACTCTCAATGTCCTTTCTCTCAGCTACTTATCAGACCTTTATGTACCATATAGGCTGACTCGTATATACATTGGGATCCTCGGGCAGAGGTTTTCTGGTCGTTCCAAACACCAGACTTAAAACCAAACGGGACTAAAGAGCGTTTGCTTTGAGGGCTAAAACTGTGGAACGACCTACCAGCCAAGTCAGGAATCTCTTTTAAATCCCTTCTGAAGACACACTTTAACCAGCGAGCATTTTCATGTTTTAATCTTTCAAATTCCTTTAAAATAATAAATAATATTATTTTAAAGGTGTTTAGTCAATAATAATAAATGTCTTTTGTTGTTAGTTATCTCTTAATCTTTGACCTGCCTGTTTTAACCTTTTGTTTTATTATTGCTGTTCTTGTAAAGATCTTTGTCACTTTATTTTGAAAAGTTGCCTCCTCGCTGTGGGGCAACAGCGCTAACCACTGCAGCCTAAAGGTCACTATCGTTATAATAAATCAAAATGGTTGATGTTAGTAGTAGTATAGCATTATCATTCATAATTTAAGAAAGTAAAAGCCAACACACTGCTGTTACTTTTTGCTCCAACATGCTGGGGAGAGAGTTTCCTCGGTCCATCCTGGAGTCTCCGTTCTGATGAAAACACAGAAGGCCACAGATAAACTCATATCAACATTAATAACACAACAAGTGACTGATGGTTAGACGAGGATTCAACATGAATAGATCAGACGTTACCTGAAGATCTGTGGGAGAGAGAGAGAGAGACAGAGAAAATATTAACAACCTGAAGCGTACACTTCGACAATGACAGACTATAAACACGATATAAAAATCATTCTTTAATGTTCTCTTCGGGTTGAATACGTTATAGGTAATAATTGTACCTGCAGGAGTTTTCTCAGCCGAGCTGAACTCTGCTGACTGAAGCTGTAAAAAACAAACACAAACATGTTGATCACCTTCATGGTTATTCTGTGCTGTGATTGGACGACTCTGTGGAGCTGTTCTCACCCTGGACAGGCCGCTCTTAGAGGACGCAGGGAAGTAAACAGACTTGGAGGCGTTGGAGCCTGCAGACGAGGAGAAGGAAATGAAAAAAGACAGAAATATTAAATTCCATCCTTCCGTTATCTTTATTGCTTTTCCTGTTCAGGGGGGCAAGAGCCGATCCCAGCTGTCATTGGGTGAGAGGCGGGGTACTCCCTGAGTAGACACCAGCCAATCACAGGGCTGACATATAGGGACAGACTCCCTCACATCCACACCTACGGACAACTTAGAGAAACCAATTAACCTAACAAGCATGTGTTTGGACTGAGGGAGAAAGCCAGAGTACCCAGAGAGAACCCACACATGCACAGGCCCAACGGGGATTTGAACCAGGAACCTCCTCGCTGTGAGGTAACAGCACTAACCACTGCACAGTGCACATGTAAGTGAGCAGCAGCATTCAGTCACTGTATGTTCCAATAATCAGTCTGACCACTAGGTGTCACCAGAGCTGTGTTTTCTCTTTCTCTCTGTTCTTTAGATCAGTGGTTCCCAAAGTGTGGGTCGGGACCCCCAGGAGGGTCACAAGACACCTGGGGGGGTTTCCAGAAACCAATAAATATTTCAAATTATTCAAATATAGGCCTATATACTTATTTTACCAATTATTGTGAACAGATATAGCAAAAGGGGTTCAATTCAAAATAAAATGTTCAGCGTTAAGTAAGATTTATGCTTTAATTAAAGAAACAAAAACCTTAAATGTAAGTTTGCACATGACTGCAACAATATAGGCGTCTGTTTCTCTTAACAAACTAAACACACACACAGACTCAGAGATATACACACACACACACACACACACACACACACACACACACACACACACACACACACTCATCCCCTGTGTGTCTGTTTATCAAATATTGTATGTCCACTCAACGTCACTCCCCCTCCTATTGGCTCGAGGTGAATTCTCCTGATTATATTCTGCTGTGTTCTCACATCAGCTCACTCTGACTTGCTGCAGAAACACTCGTGGTCTGGAAGGAGAAACTCCGGGTGAAGTCAAAGGGGAAAATTCTGAGTTTTCTGCAAGTGTGAAAGCCCCATTAGATAACACTTTGTGTGTTAATGAATCATTAGATAAGATCATCTCTGTGTTTTCTTCGCTGCTGGTTATAAACCTGTTTTTTTATCAGATGGGAGTCTAGTAGAGGTGAAACAGAGCTTCAGGTCTGCTGTGAGCTGAGTTATGTAACAGTGAAGGTGAGCGTTAACCTGTACCTGTGTTGTGGCTGCGATCCGGCAGTGAGCGAGTTTTCCTCCTCAGAGGAGCTGCAGACTTGTCCAACTCCTCCTTCAGGATGATTTTTCCCAGATTTGACTGAATCTGAAATTAAACAAGAAGAAAAAAAAAAAGTATCTTTCATCAAATATCGAGTGGAACAAACACTACGAGCAACACGTCCAACACATTCAAACAAACTGATCTGAAACTGGAGCACGTGGTCAAACCCTGGGGGGAGGAACATGTGATGGAACACCTTGTTGAATACCTGGTTGGACACAGATGTTGTCCTTGTTTACCTTGTTGAGTTCCTGTTTCTGAAGAGCTCTGAGTCCCCACAGCTCATCGTCCAGCTCTCCATCCTCCTCCTCATCTCCATCCCGCTGCTCCTTCTTCCTCCACTCCTTCTCTGCAGCGAGGAAAGGACACAAGGAAAGGAGACGAGGTAAGAGAAGAGGGAACAAGGATATAGGAGAAGAAAGAAGGAAAGACAACAAGGAAAGGACACAAGCAAAAAGGAAAGGGAGAAACATGAAATGTACGTCTTTGTTGTACATCCCAAAATGCAGCAAGAGATGTGTGTGTGTGTGTGTGTGTGTGTGTGTGTGTGTGTGTGTGTGTGTGTGTGTGTGTGTGTGTGTGTGTGTGTGTGTGTGTGTGTGTTGCTTGGGCCGTACCAATCACAGCCAGCGATGGGGGGCAGGGCCAATACTCTGTCTCTATCTTGGAGGGCAGGTTCGGGTCCGGAGGATGAGCTGCTGGAAACTTTGACGACTCGATGATCAGATCCTCGATGTGTTTCCCCTGAGGGACCTGAGAGGACGACACATCTGTACACACACACACACACACACACACACACACAGACACAGACACACACACACACACACACACACACACACACACACAGACACAGACACAGACACACACACACACACACACACACACACACACACACACACACACACACACACACACACACACACACACACACACACACACACACACACACACACACACACACACACACACACACACACACACACACAGACAGACACAGACAATATGTTTAAGCTGATTAAATGCAGTGAAGTCATGTCTGTGGTTTGGGGGGTTTGTCCAGCTGACCGACATTCAGAGCCTCTCTGTATTTGATATAAACACGAGCTACTTGTTCCCTGATGAAAGGATGAGCGCTCAGGGAAGACTTCCCTCATCCCAGTCATGCCCCCATGCCCTACTCATCTGATACATAACCTACCATATGGCCATTAGTTGCCACAGCAACCGAAACAGCGATGCCACCTTCAACAGAAACCAGGCTGTGCTGATGGAAGCTCCATGTAGTGATGATGCTGATATACTACCTACCCTACCACACGGCCTCTTCTAGTCCCCGTAACTAAACCACGTAAGGCTGAAGGACATCATTAGGGTTGTCAAGTGGAAACCTCCTTTCACCAGCGTTTCATCAGGTGTCCCAGAGTCCGTCCGTCCCCCCGCCCCCCCACCACCACCACACCCACATGTAAAACTTCTGTATCTTACCTACTCTACCACATGGCCATCACAGCCCAGACAGCATTACCACCAACAACAGACCAAGACTCCATGTAGTGACAACACTGATACTACCAGTATCTACCAAAGCCTACCTCAAGGCTGGGGAAGCAGAGCTATAGGGTGAGGGGCCCTGATCGGGGTCTCCTATCAGGACCGAGCTGTTGATGTTCTGACTTTAGTACAAAAAATAACTAACTAGTGTTGCAGTACTGGAAATCAGACCGCTTTTCTCCTCTTGGAATCAAAAGCATTTTTACTCGATCTTGTCTCGGCCTCAGACTGGGCGGACTCCGGATTTTAAATCAAGACCAGTCCAGACCACCACTATTTTACCACGTCACCACTGTGATTAGAAGGAAAAGAACAAATAACTTCAATTCATTTGTGATTTGATTTGTATCCCCCGGTCTAAATTGGTGACACGCCCCCTAAACACAAGATGATGATTTTTCAGGGATATGGTCTTGGTCTTGTCTCAGTCTCAGAGAACTCTCAGGTATATCTTGGTCTCGGTTATGATGGTCTTCACTACAACACAGGCTGTTTCTCAATTTAGACGCACCATGTTGAACGGCTCTTTTATTCCTCCCCCTGACAAAGAAGAGGCAGCCATGTTTTACAAGATGCTGGTTCAGCACTGCCATTAAATCCTGTTAAAGAGCAGTCCACTTTAGAAATCCAGTGGACTAACCTCATAACCTTTTCTACCTGTTAGTCATGAATACTCCAAAACGTGTCAAAGAAGAAACCCAGGTTTAAAAATACTGAATCACGCTTTAAGGAAAACTTAAATGAAGCATTCGACGCCTACCAAAACACCTACATCCATTGTTATTAATATAAACCAGGGCATCAGAATTTAGAACACCTACAGCTTTAACACTAAAAGCAGTTCAGCTCAATGTGAGGGTGAATGTGACGCACCTTGTTTGTAGATCGGAGGCTTCTTGTAGATGTTGGTGCCGTTTTCTGAAAAAAGACAAAGAAGTGAAAGTGAAGAAATGGAAAAGACGGGATAAAAGGACACACAATTTTATTTTACAATCTTTCCTCACGTGTTATGTCAAAATTATCAGCAGCCAACGTCTCAAAATGTTCAAAAACTTCAATCTCAAAAACAGTTGGAAGGTAACTTCTGATGCTTTTAGAGGGATCATTTTATGAGCATCCATTAATCCATTATATATAACACTTTTACCGTTCAGGGTCGCGGGGGCTTTAATTCAAGAAGTGAAAATGAGCAGTATAAAAACATCATTAAAATGTAGACAAATATTACAACACATAAAATAAGAAGTTGTTACCAGGCCTGTGGAAGTGGTGCATGGCTCCACTCTTGAGACCGCTGCACTGTGTTTGCGGCGTGTTTGGCGTGTTAGGTGTGTGCGGTGTGGACGGCGTGTGCGAGCTGTGTGTTCTGCTGGTCTGGATGGTGGAACAAGGGGAGGAACCTCCAGGAGAACATTTCTCCAGCCACTCCCTGGACTCCTTCTGGAAAAAAACAGAGAGAGAGATGCAATAAGAGTAAGAGAGGATTTAAGAAATGAAACCTTGAAGATAAACTTCATGATGATGTGACGGGGGGAGGGGGAGGGGGCGGGACTTACCTCTGGGGAGGGCGGAGGAGAGATGGAGCGAGGAGACAAGGACCTCTGAGGAGGAGGGGAGATAAAAATAGATTAATAAGTCAAACATTTGAGTAGACTCAGGAACAAAGAAGGCGTTTCACCTTTTTAATATACCAACACTCTGAGTCACTTTACAGGTTAAGATTATTACACATTTAACACACAAACATACAAAATATCAAAATATTAATATCATAAAATAAGTTTATAAAAGCACAGCTGGAAAGATTAACCAGTCAATCAAGAAAACTAACCAGCAGCTGTTTTGATAATAGTTCAAGTGTCTCTCTCTCTCTCTCTCTCTCTCTCTCTCTCTCTCTCTCTCTCTCTGTCTTTCTCTCTCTCTCTCTCTCTCTCTATCTCTCTCTCTCTGTCTCTCTCTCTCTCTCTCTCTCTCTCTCTCTCACATGCACACACACTGTCGGTCAGCTGTGGTAACGAGCTGTCCGGTCTCTAAGATAGATAGATAGATAGATAGATAGATAGATAGATAGATAGATAGATAGATAGAGATAGATAGATAGAGATAGATAGATAGATAGATAGATAGATAGATAGATAGATAGATAGATAGATAGAGATAGATAGATAGATAGAGATAGATAGATAGATAGATAGATAGATAGAGATAGATAGATAGATAGATAGATAGATAGAGATAGATAGATAGATAGATAGATAGATAGAGATAGATAGATAGATAGATAGATAGATAGATAGATAGATAGATAGATAGCGATAGATAGATAGATAGATAGATAGATAGATAGAGATAGATAGATAGATAGATAGATAGATAGATAGAGATAGATAGATAGATAGAGATAGATAGATAGATAGATAGATAGATAGATAGATAGATAGATAGAGATAGATAGATAGATAGAGATAGATAGATAGATAGATAGATAGATAGATAGATAGATAGATAGAGATAGATAGATAGATAGATAGATAGAGATAGATAGATAGATAGATAGATAGATAGAGATAGATAGATAGAGATAGATAGATAGATAGATAGATAGAGATAGATAGATAGATAGATAGATAGATAGATAGATAGAGATAGATAGATAGATAGATAGATAGATAGAGATAGATAGATAGATAGATAGATACTTTGTTGGTCCCGAGGGAAATAAAAAAATCAGCAGATTGATGTGTCAAGTCGCCATCAGAGCTAACCAACCAGAAAACTACCCGACTGTCAGACCAGCCTGCTCACACACTGACTCCTCTCACGCTCAGGATTCAAATCTGACTCTGCTACAATCTTCAGCCTGTGGTTTGTTACCATGTTCAGTATGTGTATGTGTGTATTCAACTGTTAAATTGGCTACATTGGAGAAACTTATTTATTACACGCTAGGTGAGATCGGTTCGTGAGGTTCCAAACTTATTAAGCTAACTCAGAGATAGACGAGGAAAGAGACAACTTTGGTGTTCGATAGGGTTCATTGAGATATAACTCGGGTTAGACGACTTTCTGCAGCCGGTGAAGCTGCTAAACATGAGACAACAACGACACAGATAACAATACAGGCTAACGTTACGTCTCAGTTCTGAATAAATCTGCAGGGATGAACACTCTGCTTCTCGCTCGCTCGCTCACTCTCTCTCTCTCTTCTTAGCTTCATCCGTCACCGTCCTCTTCCCCACAGCCTCAGACGAGCTGACTGGCTGCTTTGTAGCTGAAGGCTGCTGTGTGATCTAGTGACGTAAAGACGTACACACTTCTCTTGAGATGACCTCGGCCTGCTGTCAAAGTTACATACTGCACTAAACGGGCGACCGCGCTGTGGACATGAGAGAGACGCCATTCTCCCTGTTCGACCTTTAAAACGACTATTTGAAGGTAGAAAAGTTCCATATAAATGAGTTGCTTCAATTGGACCAATATCTTGTTTGTTGTAGTGAGGGATGAAGCTCAAGGTTAGAGTTATTAACTTCTGAGGACTTTAAAAGCACCTCACAAGTTTATAATAATCTTTTTAAAAAGGATTTTTAATCTAAAACTACGGCCTTTTTATTTGTGTTCTTTTTGTGTTTGGGACTATTTAATGCGGCGGATGAATCCATATTAGTTAAAATAGATGATAGTGTGTTCAGGGTGATAAAGGAAATGTCACTAATGCAGGAGTGTCGTTCACTGATGAGCATAATATAAAAAGGCTTTGATACACACAGTGTGAACCTGTAGAGAAATTCAGATAATCAGGAGAGTCACAGTGTTAAAGAAGGTTGCTTTAAATCACCTCCAGAGGGCTGTAGCTGTAGTGCGGCTGGTAGATCATCAGGTCTGGTCTCTCTATGTCCAGGATGGCTTTGTCTCTCGGTAACGCTGCCAAGTCCTTGTAGCCGATAACCCCGTCCTCCACTCGAGCCTGGAGGGGGGGGGGGGGGGGGGGGGGGGGGACAGACAGGCAGAGATTACAGATTACTGCCTCAAGATTAATCTGAAGGATAATATATCTTCATCTGTGAGTGCGACTGTGCGTGCGAACGACTGTGTGTGTGGCTCACCACGATGGCAGCGGCGGGGGATCCCGGGATGCTGGTCGCTCTCAGCGACAACACGCTCCCAGGAGATGTCTGAGCCAGCTGCTGCTAACACACACACACACACACACACACACACACAGAGAGATCAGAGGTCAAAAACAAACTGGTATTCAGCCAAATGGGCCGAGGCTTTAGACACTGAGGGAATCAATTAAGATCATTTAGGATTCTGCTCGGTGAAATGAACACTCAGAGGTTTACGCTTATATCAATGTTTGATCAGAAAGAGCCAGAGTGATGTATGCAGAGGACGACGGATACGGAACGAGCTAGAGCAATAGTTTTCAAGAAGAACTTAAAAGCTGCTATCAACATGTGTTTAACTGCTACTGCTTGTACTCACACCCATTTGGGTATTTTACATTCTCCTGATGCTGGGATATTGATGGCTGTCGTGTGTTTGCTTGTTGCCCCTGCTTGTTTGGATTGCTCTGTGGGGTCAGGCGTGGACCGACCCTCATGCCTGAAGGCTCCCGGTCTACCTTTTGTTTTTGGAGCCAAAACGTACGAAGGGATGAAGCTTTTAAAACATCCTAACTTCTCTTGATGTTTTAGTCTTTAGAGTGTCTCTAAGAAATCAACATCCCTGTATGAACATGCCATTTATCCAGAATTAATGTCTGATTTTCTGCCCTCAGTTTTGACTTTAGGTGATGAAAATAGATCTTAGACATGTTACTCCTCCTCCCAGAGTTAACAGAACCCAGAAGAAAGACATCAATACTTCAAACATGCCGTCTGATTGTTCTTATTATTGCAGGGAGGAAACTGTGTTTACCTTGGGCATCATCCTGCCTGCTGATTGGTCAGTTCCTGAGAGAGAGACGGATATAACACGGGTTACATTACAGGTATATTGAGCATACAGTTATTTTATTAACACACACAGCAAGAAAAACTTGTTATAAGCCAACAAGTCGGACACTAAGGCCTGGATCGCTTGACAAATACACCTGCTTAGATTTAGTGTAAAGAGAAGTGCATGTGTGTGGATTTACAAGTCGATCTTTGTTCCACACCTTACACTCACAAGCTTTATGTTAGTGACCAAAAGAATGAGATAGCAGACACTAGCAGCCTCTGCCGGAGGGTGTCAGGGTTCAGTTGTGAGTTAGCAGGGAAACAGAAACCAGCAGCAGAGGCTTTCAGTGATGGGCATCTGCTGGACCAGAGCCCTGCACACAGCAGAGTTTAGTTACAGCTGCTCGTCTGGAGATAACGCTCAGGAGCTGTGTTCACACACGCACGCCTGAACATGTCTGATTGTTCACACATGTTTCACACAGCGTGAAGTTTTCCCCGTCAGACATGGAGGGGAGGACGGACTCAGGAGGTACGCCATGACGAAAGAAAAGGCACTAAGAAGGTTGAAGAGCAACAAAGTCCGACACCATACATACATGTACAATGCTACATGTGACTGGTATCACATTTAAAAGAGGGGAAAAGAAAATTCTAATGCAGCTGTTTTATCTCCTGCACAATAATTTAAAGGTCCATTCAGTGAGATGTGTAGTGAGTGAAATGATAAAGTGATCTTACTATATGATCAGACATTAAGGAAACATGCTATGTTGAAGTGCTGGCTTCTCTGACAACAATGCAGCAGGTCAGTATGTCCTCCTTAACTTTAGATTCTGCTCCTGAATGCTCGATTTGTTTGGACCAGAGAAGGTAGGCGCTTTTAAGGACCCCCCCCCCCACACGGCCGTTTTGGACGCCCCTCGGTTTGCCAGATATGAGAGCAGTTATCAGGTCAACAGGTGTTGCAGAGATGGAAGCGGGACAGAGAAGTGGTTCAGATAAAGTGATTGTACCCCTAAAAAGACTCTGCATGTTTCTAATAAGCTCCACGAGCCAGAAACGTGCTCAAACTAGGATCAATATTGTTGAGATGCTTTTGAAAAATGGAGAGAGGTTAGAACACAGAAAGGTTTACAGACCGATGCAGAGCTGGATAAACACTGAAGCTTCAGTGTCCACCACATGGTGAACTGTGTGAGCACGACTCTAGAGAGGAGGGGACAGCTCTCTCTAGTGTTT